AAGGGGGAAGTGGAAGGGGAAGGGGAAAGAGGAACCTTGAAGATTGATTCATTTTTGACGAGTGACAACAGAACGATAGGATGATGATGATGATGATGATGATGATGATGATGATGATGATGATGATGATGATGATGATGATGATGAGGATGATGATGATGATGATGATGATGATGATGTTAAATAACGATGAAGATGATGATGATGATGATGATGATGATGATGATGATGATGATGATGATGATGATACCTTCATAAGTGAGCTTGTTAATCCAGTTCGTCGGAAAGTTGGACGTTCCCGTACGAGTAGGGGGCCCTGAGTACATGTATTCTATGCCTTCCATTTGTTTGTTGGTCTATTGCTTATTAATCGTTCATTACATCTTTGGTCTGTTTGTTTGTTTGCTTATTTGTTTGTTGGTCTGTTTGTTTAGTTGTTCATTTGTTTGTTGATCTGTTTGTTAATTTAATCTTTTGTTTAATGGGCTGTTTGATTATTTGTCCATTTTTTTGTTGGTCTATGGTTTATATCTTCGTTTGTTTGTTGATCTACTGTTAATTTGTTCATTAGTTTGATGATCTATTGTCTATTTGTTCATTTGTTTGTTGGTCTGATTCTGTATTTGTTCATTTGTTTGTTGGTCTATGGTTTATATCTTCGTTTGTTTGTTGAGCTACTGTTAATTTGTTCATTTGTTTGTTGATCTATTGTTTATTTGTTCATTTGTTTGTTGGTCTGATTCTTTATTGTTCATTTATCTGTAAGTCTACTATTTATTTCTTCATTCGTTTGTTAGTCTATTTTTGTTTATACGATTAATTCATTTGTTGGTCTATTTGTTTGTTGGTCTGTTTGGATAGTTGATTGGTTTATATACCTAAACTATCTCACCTGTAAAGAAATAGTACACCTTTGTGAGGTCACCGTTATCTGGTCGACTTGACAGCTGGTTCATTGCTAGTGGTTATTTGTTCATTTGTTTGTTGGTCTGTTTGGTTGTTTATTTGGTTAATGGTCATTTAGTTTAATGTTTTCATTTGTTTGTTGGTCAGTTTGTATATTTGTTCATTTGTTCGTTTGTGTGTTTGTTTATCTGTTTTTTAAATTTGTTTGTTGATCTGTTTGTTAATTTATTCATTTGTTTAAAGGGCTGTTTATTTGTTTGTCCATTTGTTTGTTGGTCTGTTTGTTTATTTGTTCATTTGTTTGTTGATCTATGGTTTATTTCTTCGTTTGTTTGTTGGTCTATTGTTGATTTGTTCATTCGTTTGCTAGTCTATTTTTTGTTTATCCGATTAATTTGCTCTTTGGTCAATTTGTTCATTTGCTTGTTGGTCAGTTTGGTTAGTTGATTGGTTTCTACCTAAACAATCTCACCTGTAAAGAAATAGTCCACCTTTGTGAGGTCACCAGTATCTGGGTCGACTTGACAGCTGGTCCAGTGGTCAACTGCCTTGCCTCGGACTGTGGTCGGGCCGATGTAGCGCTCGCCTCTGTTCCCGCCGAATGCCAGAAGGGCCGGGGTTCGAGAGATGTGTTCTGTTCGGGAGAGGTTTTAAAAAAAACAAACGTTTTAGTAAGAGTTTTACGGCACTTGCAACACAATAAGGTCATATACGAGTAAGTGGTGATGGCTGGAATTGTTACGAGAGAGTAACAAACGCTACAAAAAAATAAGAAGGAGGAGGGATAAGGGTGATAGATATTTGATATCTATGTATTTATGTGTCTCTGAATCTATCTATCTATCTATCTATCTATCTATCTATCTATCTATCTATCTATCTATCTATCTATCTATCTATCTATCTATCTATCGTATGTTCTCATACAGAAGCAGATTTTATGTCCTAGACACATCTATCTATCTATCTATCTATCTATCTATCTATCTATCTATCTATCTATCTATCTATCTATCTATCTATCTATCTATCTATCTATCTATGTGCTCATTTATAAGTAGGTTTTACAAGTATGTCTCAGACAATCAAGACACGCTATGTTAATAGAGAGACTGGACTGATGAAGTTTTGCAATAACCACACCCTGACATGCTCTAAACAGACAAACAGACAGGCATATGGGTACTTGGATAGAAAGATAGAGTGACAGAGAAAAAGACAGACAAACAGAAAGACAGACAAACAGAAAAACAGACAGACAGACAGACAGACAGATGGATGGACGAATAGAAAGACTGGTGGAGAGACAGGCAGGCAGACAGACAGACAGACAGACAGACAAACAGACAAATGGATAGATGGACAGACAGACATACAGCTAGGAAGACATACACACCATTGGGTGGACATCCAGCAAGCCAGACAGACAGACAGACAGACAGACAGACAGACAGACAGACAGACAGACAGACAGACAGACAAGCAGGCAGACAAACAGACATGAAGGTAAATAGATAGACAAATAAACAAGTACACAGACAGAAAGAGAGACGAACAGGCAGACAGACAGATAGATAGATAGACAGATAGATAGATAGATAGATAGATAGATAGATAGATAGATAGATAGATAGATGCTGAAAAAACTAGCTAGCATATTAATATTAGTTAGATAGTAAACACTGGAAGTACCTCTGGAAGAGTTGGTGACGAAAGGAAATGAATATTCATCATCTGTGTTGATCGTGGCCACTGAACAGGTCACGTCTGCAAGGGCAAGAAACTCATTTAGTCACGACGTGGTGGAATCAGGCGCTCGTCAATTTTTGGGCATGTGGAGTTACTGGTATCATCTTAAAGCTTGTTCAGTTGTCTTGCTATCGGTGAAAAAAACAAACCCATCTATCTATCTTGAATAGAAGTCGAGATGTTTGAGATTGGAGAAGGTGGGGTCGCCTGGTTTGCAGGGTAGAATTAGCGAGAAAATGGCAGCCAAAGTTTGGTTATTTGCAAAGCTTGATAGTCCGTGGAAACTGAAAACTTACTTTTGTGTGCTTTTAATCAAGGTTTTGCAGTAAAATCCACCCAGAAATGTGTTCCTCATGGACAGCAATGGTGTTAAGCACCC